TGGTTATATAAAAGAGAGTAAAATTTTAATGCAACAATAATATTATGTTATTGTTGACACGTGATTCACCATTAAATAATAAAATATCATGTAAGATGGTGAACTTTACTATCTAAAGATAACCATTTTATTTAACTCATCTCACCAGTTGACATATATACCTAGCGGATATAATGCACTTATAGGCCCGTTTTGTAACACTTAAAAATCAACTTATTTAGCTTATAATTAAAAAAAGTGTACTTATTGCAATTTTAGCCCCTCTGAAAAAAAAGGTTGCAATTTTAGAGTATCGCTTATTTGACCTAAAAAAAAAAAAGTAAGATTTTTTTAAATTATAATTTGCAACTTTTTTAGAATATTTAAAACCCTTAAATTTGTATGAATAAAATAACCTTGTCTTTTTACCTTCATTATAACTTTTAAGGGTATTCTAAATATTTCACAACAAAAAAATTATATGACAACATATTTAATCAAATAAATTTCTTTTGATGAAAACACGTGATTATAATTATCATATCAATCAATTTTTTTTTTTTAAAAAAAAAAAGATGTGAATTTAAAATATAAATTGATAATCACAAGACGTCAAGTGGCAAACTCACATAATAAAATTAGACAATTCAATGCACACCAATCCCTCAACAAGAAAGTATTCAGTACTATTGTTGCCCCCAATGCCATTAATCCTACTATTGTGTTTTATGTAACTCTTAGAGGTAGAATGATGTCTTAGGAATATACAATATTTTTTTTCTAATTAATTGGCAGGGCACTCCCTTTAAAAGGCTGAGGTGCATGGTATGAATTTTGCATAGTATGAGTTTTGCTTTATGAGTCCCTACAAAAAAGCATATTCAGTGAGAGTTTGTTCAATTGATGGTAGATTGAAGAGAGTTTTCGACCATCAAGATATATATGCTTTAATTTAGGAAAATGTAATTGGAATTAATTTAGTAATGGTGTTAATATTTTTTCTTACATCTTTTTTTCTTGTTATTCTCTTTTTAAAGAGTTGTGTATCATTATTTAAGCGTCATCTATCATAAAATATTTTTTGAAAAATAATCTTGCCATTATTTCAGTGCTTGCAGACCTATACATTTAGCCATCCGCTATCAACCATATCCGATTGGTGATATAATTGGCTCTTATTTGTTGATTTTACTTTATCTCTTATACTCTTTGAAGTTTTTGTACTCATTATCTTAATAAGTCTTAGTGGCGCCTACTTCCCTACTTTTGTTTTGCTCAATGGAGATTTTCTCATTTTATCAACTAAGCCATTACCTTGATCTAGCCCGCCACACTTTATTTGCTCAACCTTATTTTAGTTTTTCCCTACCAAACTTCGGCTGTCAATTTTTTAAGAGAAAATTGCAATTCAGTGTAGGTTTTCAAAACAAATTTTAAATCAATAATAAACCTTATCAATTTTAATAATTAAAGTTATATATTTTTTCATAAATTTGTATGTAGTTAGTGAAAACTTCACTGATTTGAAATTTTTTCATTTTTTAATATCCAAATTTTGTTTTTGTTATTTTTTTTAAAAATAAAAATTATAAGTATTGTTAACTCCAACAGTGTATTTATACTTTTGTATTTCATGCGAATAGTTTTGTTCCTTTCCATATTTGGAGTGCCCCCACCACTTCACCTGTTGCATTTTATTTAGGTGGTGTTTGACAAGTGGGTTGGGGCTAAAACAGCCACAAAAGACAAAACAGGTTATTTTAACCACAACAAACAAAACATCACATCCAACCCATAATCATTACACTATTCTCTCACAAAAAAAAGTCAAAAAGTGAAAAAGTCAAAAAGCCCTTCCCAAACCAAGCTTTTTAGCCCAGGCTAAAATAGCCAAAAAAGCCAAAAAGCCAAAAAGCCAACCCACTTCCCAAACGGAGGCTTACTAGAATGTTATCAAAGTTTTAAGTTAAGTTCGGCATGTTTTGAAAAAGATAAAAAATTAAAAAGTTATTATCTTATTTAAGTCACATCATCTTATTTAAGTCATATCATCTCTTTAACACATCACTTCAAACTCAACCCAAACCTAATCCATATTTCATAAAAAGTCAAAAAATACATTTATTTAGATTATCACAAACAACCCCTTAAATTAATTCTTCATCTCTTGATTGAGTTTGACATCAAATGATAAATTCATCAAATTATTCTATCTTTGATTGATCATTTGTAATTAGTTTTGGTTCAACTCCCATACAAGTGATGTGCCACCACCATTCATGCACACCAACACCACCCCAAAGTGGTCCCCACACCGCAGACGACACACATCACCCCCAACAGACGGACATGGAAGCCATGTGATCCAATCACAGCCGCAAACAAGCGCGTGACTGTGACATTCCTCAACTATATGTATCACAGAGCCACCAATGAAGTAAAACCAAAGCCCCTAGTAAAGTGTAAAGTTGTAGATTTGAGATGAGTTTTAACCAAGGGTTTGGAATTTGATAAGTTTAAATTTAAATATGAGACAATTTAAAAGGATGTGAGGTTGATTATGAATTTTATTTTAATAATTTTAATAATTTATTATTATATTAAATTTTTAGTATATATAATTTATTAAAAAATTAAATCAATTTATATTTGTAATATTTTTATTGTATCACGTTTATGGTTAAAAAAATTTGATGACAAATATAGTTTTGAGAATAGATTATTTATTTTTGTGAAAATAAATACAATAAAATAAAAATATTAGAATTATTAGATCGATTTAATTTTTTTATGAATAATATACTTGAAAAACTATATAAAATGAATAATCTAAATTATTGAAACAAAACTCGTGAAAATTTCATGAACACCTCAAGTTCATATTTGAACTTAAACAAGCCAACCCTTAATTAAAATTATCACAAATTTATTTATTTTGATTTTTTATATGGTATATAGGGTTCGATTGGGATGTGTGTTGGTTTTTTGAATTTTTAGCTATAATCTAGTCTAAAAAATCTCGTTTGTGATAGATTTTTTTATTTTTTTAAACTTTTATAAGAAAAAAAATGAAATGATTATAATTTGCATATGATATTTTGTCTTTGACTTTTTAATTTATTATTTTTTTTTTGACTATTTTACCCTCAAATCACCCCAAACCGTTATGTTAAACAAGTGTACAATCAAGTTGAGTTTAGAAATAAATTATTTATACTTGATTAATGAGTTTTAAAATATATTTAAATTAAACTTATTTACTTAATAGAAATTTTCAATTAAATATTTAACCAACTATACTTATACATAGTCAAGTTCAAATAACTACATTGATTTTAATGTTATTTTTAAAAGAATAATGCCATATAAACAAATAATTTTTACAAAATTTTCTTACTTTCTAATCTTAGAACGTTTTCAACGCTTTATTTTTTGTTTAATCAAATTTAAATTTGATAAAAAAGAGTTTAAAGCTGGTGCTCAAACTATAACACCAAATCAATATCAAATTGAGGATATCTCAAATTTTTCATCAAATTGAAGATGCTGAAACCTTTCACCAAATTATAGTGGATAACAGTTAGCTTTATATGTGGCTGTTGGACAATGCATGAGCATCAGAAGATCAACTGGATGTCCGGTCTGTTATTCTCTCTGTTGACCACCTACTTGCAAAATTTGTTTTAGAATTTTAAAAATTTTACACTGACCAGTCGATCGACTGGACAATCCCCGGTTGTCCTCTCGGTTGATCGATGGTTTGATGAAATCCCAAACTACTTTGTTGGAACAAGCAATATCATATAAAACTTCTACTTAAATTTACTTTAAAAGATAATAAACGAATGAGATACTCTCACACTTATCATATCATTAGGCCTTCGTTTGACATTGGCTTTTTTTGTTGATTTTTTTGTGTTGGGACTTTTTTAATTTGGTTTGGTTTGGTTTGGCGTTTTTTGCTTTTTTTTACTTTTGTGAGAAAAAAGTGTAATGATTATGGTTTGGATGTGATATTTTATTTTATTAATTTATATAGTTAATTTTGGTTTTTTTTTTTTTGGTATTTTTTTAGCCAAAAATCTAAAACCAAACTAAGGCCAAGTTTGACATCTCCCTAAAAAGACAAAAAACCAAAAAGTTACTCAAAAAGATAAAAAGTTATCACTATTCACCAAAAAAAATATTAAAAAATTAAATTTTCACACATCCATACAACTCAGCAATCTTGTATGGCTGGCTGTGCAGTGTTTATTCAGAAAAATTGCACAGTTTAGATGCAAATTTTACACATTGTTGTTCGGCCCGTGGGGCCTATCACGGGTCCCGTTTTGATAATCTGAACCGTGCAATGTGTAAAACTCGTCGAGTACTATATGTCTGTAAAAAATCACATAAATTGGATATCGATAATTACATGATCAAATCAATTTTGTATAAAAAAAGGATGGTGTTATAATTAACAATTGAAAAAAAACAAATCTGATCAGATAGCTATCGATATCCGATCAACGTGATTTTTTATAGGCATAGTACTCGACGAGTTCTACACATTGAACGGTTCAGATTATTAAAATGGGACCCGTGATGGCTCCCACATGCCGAACAAAATCGTCCAGTGCAATGCCCGAAAAGTAACCAATAATTTCTTACAATAAATCCGGCTGTGCAGAGTGTACAACTGGACAACACACCTCTCTAATCTTCTCCTACACACTTCTTTATATAATTTTTTAATACACATTTTTTCATAAAATGTTAAAAAATTAACCTAAATATCCATATTTTTTTCCTCAATTTTTTAGTCAAAAAAAAAATACACTTATTTAGTACACGGTAAACAACTTCTAAGCTTAAATAGATTATTCTATTTCACACATTCATTATTAAAATTAATAAAATTAAGTTTATAAAATTAATTAATTTAGATAATACTTTTATTTTTAAGGTAAACAAATGAGGCAGACGGTCAGTGCCATGCCTCAATGATGGACCCACAACAGAAAGGAGTAGAGAGGAAAGAAAAAGAAGGATCAGTCCAATGTCCATACACACATTCAACAACAATAACAAGAAGAAGAACAAGCCTTGTCAATTGGCATCTACTCCTCTCCTCTCTCACCACACCCACATATATAACCCCCCCAACCCCTTACCCAACACACTCTCCTTTTTGGCTCCTTTCTTTATAATATATTTATAACTCTCATTCAGATTTTCCTCGCCACCACCACCATTCTCTCCTTTCTCACCTCTCCACTTTTTTCTCTCTCTCTCTCTCTCTCTCTCTCTCTCTGACGCTGAAAAAAGTAAAAGATGAGTGATGAAGATTGGGTGAAAGCGGCCATGACCGACGACTCCGTGGTGGTGGAGCTCCTGATGCGCCTCCACCAGAAGAGAGAGCACTCTCCGGCGGCTTTGCAGCTCGAGTGGAGCGTCAGGCAGCGCCGTTCCAAGCCGATGATGATTCTTCAAGCGAACAATAAGAAGAAGAAGCCGACGCCGAGGTCCAGCCCCACCACGCCTCTCTCCTGGAGCTGTGGCGCCACCTCCGTCAGCGGTGGTGGAGGATGCGCCGCCGCGGCCGGAGACGGTTTTGAGGAGTCGAGCCGACCTCCGCCTACCAAGCGGCTCGACGACGCCACTAGATCTAAGGTTTGTCTCTTTCTTTTGACGGTGGCGACTTTTTACTTTCCTCGGCGTTTACTTTTTTTCAGATCGCCGGTGATAATATCTTAGTCAGGTAGTTTGCTGTGTCGTCGTGTGTCTGCGATGAGTTGATTCAACTCGAGTTTTGGTGTGGTTTTTTATGCCTTTTTGTCTAAAATACCCCCGAAAAAGTGCAATATTTACCGTGACGCTTCCTCGAGAAGAAGTCAGATGAAACTTGTTTTTCACCACCTGTCACCGTTTTAGTCGTGTTTGACAAACAATACCCTCCCTGCATGGGCACAAGTCTCGTGAATCTCCAGACCCACAACTGTCATTTCACAGATCTCACCGCCGGCGGCGGATGCTCATCTCCGATTGTCCACCGTCGTTCCTTGTTACTTCTCATCTGTTATTGACTAAAATACCCTGCGATATTTATCAAATGACCTAGCCTTTATAAATCGGTTTAAAATTAACAAAAGCAGTTTTATGATTCCTATTGTTTTTTTACAATAAATTTTTAAATATTTTAATCAATTTATTTAAATTTTTACATTCATTTAATTCAAATACATTTAAAATAGAAATTTTTTTTAAGGTGGATAAAGACGTACAATATTTTTATATTTACAGTGATTAAGATCTCTTAACATTTAGACCAAAAAATTCAATTAAGAGAAATTTCACTTAAATTGGGAGGAATTTTAATTTTCACTGAGAATGTTTTTATTTTGTAGAGAAACTTCAAAATTTCTCGATAATCATATTAGAGGAAGAGAAATTTTGAAACTCTCTAAATCAGCACCGAAATTTTTTTAGTCAATTTTTTTTTTTTTTTGTAAAAATATTGAGAGAGCTTAATTAATTAAAAAAATCATTTTAAACCTCTTTTATTATATAAAGTTAGAGAATAATGTTTTATTAATTTTCTCTTAATAATATATAAAATTTGTAATATTCAATGAAAATATTAATAACCACACTATTTAATTTTTTTTTTATTTTATTTTAAACGAGAAAAACTGGTGTCTTTACTTGAACGCAATACGGTCAGAGACGATTGATGAATGACTCATCACGTTTTCCTCTCACAAACCACTTTTCTGCTCACCAGCCGAATCCCATTATTATGTGCCTTCGTGGCATGCTCGTGTTTAAAAAGACTGAAACACCCTTTGTCCGAAGAAAATTGTTAGGAAATCACTTTTACATATTCTGAATTTATTCCAAATTTATTTGAGTGAAAGTGGTTAAATTAATGAATTGTGAGAGGGTCACATTTAAAATGAAATCTTATTATTGGTAAGAGTATTGCCATTATTATCTGAAGGGTAATTTCGTCAACCAAACAGTTCCACTCAGAAAATTGTCAGAGGTCTTTCTCGTGGGTCGGTAATTCGTTAGTTAGGGTTTGCGAAATGACCAAAACGTCACTCGTGAGAGTCAAACATCTTTATCCACAGCGGGGACAATTTGGTCATGGAGTAATTTTGGGTACCCTGTATGATTGGTGGCGTGTTTTTGTGGAAACAAATAGAGGGGCTGCGATTAGTTTGGTGTAGTGTTGTTAGTGGTTGTGCACTTTAAGTTTAGTTGTGAGTTGGGAAATTATTAGCTGTGGTCGCCCATTGTTAGATGGTATTTATAGCCTTAGTTTATATATAACTGTAACTGTTTGTTCTTTATACTTCACCATCTCGTGCTATTTGTACAATAGGCACGCGAACATCCCGAGGCACCGCACAACTTTATATTTTGTGTAAATTACACTTTACTCCCTTAATGTTGGACAAAATATAAATAAGGACCTAAGCTTCTCTACCGTCCACAAAACCGTGCAGTTTCTTACTTTGGGCTTATCTTGATAATTCGAACCATTTATATTGTAAGAATCATTGAGTAGATTATTTAGATTAGGTCACTTTTTTCTCTGAAAAAATGAATGGTCAATTCTGGGAATGATACATGCTATTCATTTTTAACTCAATCGCCCTTCAAAAAAAAATGAACAGTTTGAATTATCAAATCGGACCCATAGCATGCCCATCCAAAAGCTGATTTCGTAACACTATAATTTTGACATGATTATATCAATTTCTTTTTTAATATGGCTGAAAGATTAAACCAATGCAAAAAATGTCAAAACCATAAAATTTTTTATATTTTCTCTAAATATGAGGGAGGTGGATTTTTTTATTTTTTATTTTTTATTTTAGCTCGGAGGTGGATGTTAACTTGCCCTATTATTTTTCTGTTTTGATCATAGGGCCATGGTAGTAAAGACGAACATTGGGTTTTGGATATAGCGTGACAGCTTGGTCACAACCATTCCTTTGTTAGAATACTAAAGTCGGGTTTGAATTGTTTGATCCTCTGACAAAGTCAAAAGTGGGAGAATATACTTTTTGGGTTTACTGCAAAAAGACTAGAGGTGTTCATTGGGCCTGTTATTCTATTTGAGTGACAGCCTGCCTGTTTGTTTAGCTTTTGTGGTATGTGGTGGGTCCTCCAACAAAGTAGAAATTATTTTAAGTCAAACAAATAGTTTATGCAATATGGGCTGAGAATACTAGGGTGCATATGCAAGCACCTCTTTTACGTGAGAATTGTGAGAATTGCATTAGGCCTTTGAGGTGGGGACCATTTTGCCACCAAACTTAATGTTGTAAGCTGACATGTTTTACCAAATTAAACTTACCAACTACACATTATTGTGAAAAAAATTATCGAGTGGTGTCCAATGCAGCGAATGGCCAATAATCACAATAAGTGGTCCCTTTTATTAGGGTACTAGTAGAAGGAATACAAATGCTGTGCATGTGCAACATTCAAAATTGTAAGGAGGATTCCTCTGGCAACACATTTGGAAAACTGCAAGTTAAAGCAGTTTGGAGATGTATAGAATGTGGAGCTCACTGAATTGGAGGTGGAGTTCTCATGTTTGCCCTTAATAATGCAATTATAAACTGTTTATAAAGTAGAAGAATTTTTTTGGGGACAATTTGGCGAACACACAAATACATTCATCAAATGTGTAGCGCCTAACAAGTTAATTAGGTGTTTCTTCTTGAGTGGTTGTATGGCATCCGAGAGCACAGAATAAGTTCTCATACTGACCACGGAATAACTTCTCATGTTGACCGTTACACCTTCAACTTTTATTTGTAGTAGGAAATGTCGGGCAGGCTGAGCGTGTGCTAATCATTGTCATATTAATGGCTACCAAAATTTTGGGAAGTTCATGCTTTACGCTATTTACATCTCATGATGAAGGGGTAGTTCTTTGTGCAATTGTTCTCAAATTTCATTTTGGCCCTTGTGTAGAATTTGATCCCACTAGAATTTTTGGGGGAGAAAAAAAAAACCATAAACAAATTTTAAACAAGTTTTACAACTAAAAGTTTCAAATTTATGGACATCCTAGCACACGACAAAATTTTGACTTATAAATTATGTTCTTTATTTGTGGTCTATTCATACCACTTAAAAGCCACACTTACAATTTTACTCTAATGAATTACTTTTAAACCCAATTTTCACATTTTTTTCCAAAGATCCAGGTGGGATCAAAATATACAAATATCCAATATTATTGAGAAATCATATTTACTTGTAACATTTTGCTTTTTGAATTTCTGTGGGTTCAACTGACCCCACTTGGGGTTATAGAGCCTTTCCGTAGTTCAAATACAAGTGGTGTAAGAGGTGAAGGGTGTGGACCAGGTTATGACCTTTATTTTAGAATGTCCTTGTGTTGGAGTACTTGCAGATCTTTTAACCATATTAATGTTGTGTATGGTGTTATAGGACACAATAATCTTGCCTTTGTGATTTTTAATGTCCTTTCAAGTTGTGTGAACTATGTAGATGAAGAATAAGAATGTGGTTGCAAAATAGGTAGTCCATAACTATTGATTGTTCTTGACCTTTTTATCTAGGCAAGCATTTATCACATGGGTCCAACTTGTCTCATGTTTGAGATCAAGACTGAACTATCCATTCCGGCCCATGGGCCCATTTTTGGGCCCCGTTTCGATAACCCGAATCATTTAATGTGTAAAACTCGTTGAGTACTATATCTCCGTAAAAAAATCACGTTGATTAGATATCAATAGCTATTTGATCGTATCAGATTTCTGTCAACCTTTTATTTTTTCACTGTCAATTTTTTTTATACAAATTTGATTCGATCAAATAGCTATTGATATCCGATTAACGTAATTTTTAACAGGGTATAGTACCCGACGAGTTTTACACATTGCATGGTTCGGATTATCAAAACGGAGCTAAAAAATGGACCCATAGGCCGGACTGGACGGTCCAATCTTAATCTCAAACATGAGACAAGCTGGACCCTTATCATATATAGCGTCTGTAAACTAGTAGAGAGTGCGTGGGACATTGAATGGAAGTATACAACCCAAATTACCTTCAATGTTTCCAACCACTTAGGAGTGACACATTAAAGTGTAGAAAATTGTAGTGAGTGATCTTTTTTTCTATGAGATTACAACAAGGTACATAGAGATTCTTAAATACTTCGTGCTCAATAGCATCTAGCAATTTATTGGTACAGATAGTTTCCACAAGAATGTAATCGCCACATACATAAATTCTCCAATGGAGAACTAGGAATTGTATCCGTATATGTTTAAGTGGGTTAAGTTGTGATGTACATATGACCCAAAGTTACTTCTAATGCTTAAGATTGTGAAAGCTATAAATTTAAATTCTTTATTTAATTCTATTTGAAAGTTTTTTTCTTTGTGGTTAACTGAACATATGACCCAAATGAGAACCTCATTAATTAGTCGAGGATATTTGATGATTGCTATGTGCAGGCTACTGCTACAAGTGGAACTACTGGCAACAAGAGATCAAGAAAGAAAAAGGTAACTATTTTCTTTATGAGCTTGGTGAAAGTACTTTTGGCCATGGGTAGGCCACATTGCATCACCTTTTTCCGGCACTATCCATTCAAATAATGATGTTGATTGCAAATGATTGGATGTCCTAAACATGGACCAGTCAACTGGTAATACCCGTTTTTGTTCCGTTTGCCATGCCTTTGAGAAAATATATTTCAGAAGAGAAAAACAACAATTACAAACAAGCATCTAGACAAATGCCCTATAGCAAGAACTAGAAAGAATAATGTAGTCTCGTCTTTTCCTTTTTTATTTTTTATTTTGGTTTTGTTAATTTGTCCTTTTCCTTTTCCTTCCTCTCTTTTTTTGTTTTTGTTTTTTGTTTTGTTTTGTGATTAATTATGATGTCGTCTCATTTGTATGGCTGTTTGCAGACATTAGCTGAACTTAAAGAGGAGGAGAACTTGCTTTTAAAGGAAAGAAGGCATTTGAAGAGGGTATGCTTTTTTTAAGCTACTTAACCAAGTAATGTAGGTTGTTTTGCCAATTGTCAATACCTGAACACCGGCTTTTATATGCTCTGATTGAGCAGGAATTAGCAACATTACGTGTCACTCTGGAGAAACACAGAGCCACAAATGAAAGCTTGAAGAGATTGAAGGTGAGAATAGATTCCTCTCCTTGTTGTATTTCTGTTTCCCTATCTAGTTAAAAGTTGTCTTTAGTATTTCAGTGGCTTTGGATTTGGATTGTCATATGCATGCCATTAATACACATATATCTACTAGTTTGTTCTATTTGAAACAACTCACTGTTAAAACGTAATAAGTCTCAACCATGACATTTAGGCTTCCTGCTGTAGCCACACACACCAATATAGTTTTGCAGAGTGGGGTGCAACTCAAGGGGTATTCAGGCAGGTTGGGGGCCTATCTAAACTTTACCTAAATTGCACTGAGAATTGCCCAGGTGCACCCTTCCTGCCTGAGACCTCCAGCCAGAGCTCTATTTGTTAAGTTGGGTTACCCACGTATGAAAATGGCAGGCTGGTTAAATTGATTCTTTGGGCCTCTTGTACTCTACCCAACTTGTGTTTTTTTTTGGGTGATTTTAGGCTTATAAAATTTTTGAAACCCCACATGTTAAACAGATATCCCATACCATTAACCAAGTGTGGAGTGTCTGAAAAGAGCACTTCATACATTTAACAAAGTTCATGTAATATAGGTAATCTGTAATAAGACAGATTCTCTGTCTTTGTCTCCTTAGACCACTTTGTATTTGTACACATATCTTGATGCTGCATGTAATTAGTAAGGATCCCACATGCGGTACTGCTCTAATTTCTGTGATGTTGAGTTATTGAGTATATGAACCTTTCCGTGTCAGTGCAAGCAAATGTAGGGTTAAATTAGAATCGAAGTATAAATCTTTTATTCTAATGAGTGCTCTGACATGACTTGCACGTGAGTTGGGGGTTTTGCATCTTAGGATATTCAGACGTGGATTGGTTATGTCCTTATTTTATGCCTGTACCTGTGGGACACTGTATTTGATATGTACTACCTTGAAGATTTTACTTGCACTTATGTTGAACTTTAAGATCCTTTTGTTCCACTTATGTGCGACAAATGATTATTCTCTTTAGTTTACTGTAATGCATATATTATTCCTTGATGACTTCTTGTTTTTTTGTGTTCAAAAAAAAAATGGAAGAAAAAAAGTAAAACTGCCTGGGTGGTCACTGCAGCACTTAGGAGGGTGTTTAGGCACAGTGGCAGTTTATAGTGGTTTCACATTACGCTAAAAGTATGTCCATCTGCAGATATTTAATGTTTAAAAACTGATATCTAAGCTGCTGCATGTATTACTTATATTGCAGCTTGATTTGGAATCACAGCCGGCAGCAGAAAGAGTTGCAGCAGTTGCATCTATCAAAGCAATCCCTGATCAAACGCAGCAAAATGTAGCATCTCCCGACCCTATTCCTTCAGTTTTGCAACCAGATGTCAAAACCGATAATCATGACTCTACACAACTACCCTGTCCGAACGGTTCTTCCAAGCTGCAACAGGAGATCATAAATCAGGAGAATAAATTTCTGCTACCTGATCTAAATGAACCTACTGAGGATTCCAACTCTGAGGTATTGGATAGAATTAGCTGAGATGGATCAAGCTTATACTGGTAATCTGTTTTTCTAGATGAACCGAGACAAACATATGGAGGGCATTTATACTTAAATAAGTGCTTGCTAACCTTGTTGTAGGATGAAATTATTGCAAATGTAATTACAGAAACATTACCTTCACCACTTCCCAAACAGAAAGCGGAAGTATTTTTTTTTAATTCATGAGGTTACTGAGGGTAGCATAGAGATCCTAACCTATTATACAAGTCACATTTTTTTTGTTGCAGGTTTCTATGTACCTCCAAAAGGGTCTTTGGAGCCAGCCAACCCTCATTCCTTCTATCCCCTTTCTAGGAATATTTACAGATGAGTTGTATATTACTAAATAGATGCATATCAGATATTGGTTACCTTTTGATAGAAACCATTTAAATCTGATTTCCAGTTTTTCTGTGCTGCGTTTGCTTGCTTTGCTTTGATATTCCTTGTTTTTATGAAATCGGGCATCAAATAGTTGCTGAAGCAACTGCAAATGCTTTAATCAGTGCTATTCTGATGTTGAGTTTTGGCCAGTTTAGACCCAAAAGTGAGAGTAGAAGCAAGGAGGCTATGAACCTGTGAAACTGGATAGCTTTGATGGTGTTTTCTGATGTTAACCATGTGAACCTGTTGGCATCTCGGCTTGACCTGCCTGGTAATATGACATTATCATACCTTGCCAAGGCTACCTCATCCCAGTAATCTGTAATGTCGACGAGACTCCTTATTGGATCAATAGGAAGGAAGAACCATTTGAATCTGCTGAAACAAAATGGTGATTTGGTATGAAATTTGCAAGGAATGATGACTTACTATCAATTAAAATGTCCATTTTTGTTGGCCACAATGTGACCTAAGTTGACAAGGGAGAAGCCTATGGAGTTGCAGAAATCTGAGCAATCTGATGTTAAATGGACAGCCCAAATTGCATTACATTAGGGAAAATAAAATGAAATTAGCGATTTAGGCTATGTTTGGACTTTGGATTGAGAAGTAATTTATTGAAGGAAAGAAGAAAAAAAATGAGACAAATGATTCAGAAGTTACAGTTTTCGTTACTCTTCCGGTTCATTTTTTCTTCTCTCCTTAAATTAATGATCCAAACCATCCGAGGATTGCCATGGTGGTGAGAGTGGCCAAGAGGAGGCATTAGAGTTCGGATCATATAAGTGATTTGGACTCACATTAAAGAGACAAAAGTTATGGGTTGGCTAATATTTTTTGTTTCATCGTTTGGACTCGAGATTTACATTGGGTCACCCAAACAAGGCACAGAATTTTGTTTCACCAACATAAGCAACATAATTTGATTCAAGAGTTGATTAATGTACTAATGGTTTCTAAATTATACATTTGGTTAGACTTTAGTTTTCAATCTTTTAATTCAAATAAGTAGATTTTTTGTGCAAAATTTTTACTTAGAATGAAGTGACAATGGTAGTGTCATTTTGGAAACTATAATGACAATAATGTAAGCTACATCTTCTTGACTGAGAATTATTGTTATTATTTGTTTTTTTACTTATTTATTTTTGAAATTATGTCTGTATAGGCATTGCACAAGAAAAAAATAATAGGAAATAAAGCTCCCCACATTGGTATTAGAAGGGTGACATTTGAACTCATGAAACAACATTATCAAAAGAAAAATGTTTGAGGGCCACAATGGCTCAGTTTTTGAGCCATTGTGGCCACAAAAATTGTGGCCCAAAAATTGTGGCCCTCTAGCATTGTTGTTATCAAAAATAACATTTTTGGTCAAATTGACTTTAACATTGTTAGCTTAACAAACACTAATCAAAATGATTTTTATTTATAAAAATAAAAACATCGGTCTTGACGTGTTTTTTAATATAAATTTTTTTTGAAAATAGATATTTTATTTTTTTAAAAAAGCAGAATTATTTACAAATAGAATTTTCGCAGAAAAAACTAATGTAGGATAATATGGTGGTAGTGATGTTCTTAAAAGCATGAGTAAAAATAGTGATTGTTCCAATTTAAAATGAAATAATTACTAAAAAATCACATTATTTTATATAAAAATCTTGTTAACATATCATTTAAAAAAAAAAAATTTAAATCACGAGTTGCACATATATATATGTATAACACTCAACATGCACTTACTTGCACATGAAATGAAACTCTTGGCAACAAACAAACACCAAATACAATTCAGAAATTCTATCCACCTATAAAATTTGTCTCAAATTGTTTGTATGGTAGAAATTGAATTAATTTGATATAAAATCTAAATATTGAATGAATTTAAGGCATAAATTAATGTTGTTGAGTAAAATTTTTAAATTTGTAGTATTAGTGAATACAAATTTTGAAGCTGTTAGTGCTCACTGGCCGTGTAATTAGAGGGAAATGATTTGATCTTATTAGCAGTAGTAGGAGTAGTATTTTTACGACATGAAGAAGATCTTCAGATATGGTAATACTATATAACAGTACTTCTCTCTGGCTGCCTGCATCAAATCGCAATTGATGTTACTCAGAAGCTCTCTTGTCAACTGCTGTCTTCCATTGATGCGAGTACATTGGACTATTATTTCATATTATGTAGTTGAAAATCAAATTGTTCTCTAAGGGCATGTTTGATTGGAAGGATTAAAGCATGGGATTAGGATTATTAATCCGTGGGTCCAATCATCCTATGTTTGTTTTGACATTTTGATTTAGGACTATTTCTCTCTGGCTGCCTGCATCAAATCGCAATTGATGTTACTCAGAAGCTCTCTTGTCAACTGCTGTCTTCCATTGATGCAAGTACATTGGACTATTATTTCATATTATGTAGTTGAAAATCAAATTGTTCTCTAAAAGCACAATAAAAATTTAACAATTACTGACCTATAAAAACACACATCTAATAAGGTAGAAAAGGGAAAAAAAAAAAAAAAAAAAATCAAGACACATGACTGACAGTGACAGTGAATGGGACCCACTACCACATCACTAATAATATCTTTAAATTAAAGGTCCCAAGTATTTTTCATAAAAATTATTGAATTTTACTGTTTTAATTAATGAATATCAATTTAAAGTACCACATGGCATTATTGAAGGAGCAAAAAATAATTTCTCCAACCCTCTCTCTCTCCCTCTCCCTCTCTCTCTTCAACTTGCCCCCTACAAGCTACAATCTTATTTTTAAAGAATGGAACAATATAACAAACTTAGTTTTGTTTTTAAATTTCAAAAAAATAAAATAAAACAAAAACAAAAACAAAAAATATTAAGTAACAAGTTTTTTTTTTATTTAAATATAAAAAAAAACTTGTTTGATGTACAAAAATATTTTTAAAATAAATGAAAGCCAAAAAAATAAAAAATATATATTTGGTGAATTACCAAAGGTAGTGGTTAATGGTGGAGAGTGGACAGATATAGCACCTCGCAACGAGAGATGGCCAAAGTTGATTGTTGTGGTGTCATTGGAGGTCACTGAGGGTGGTTGGAGGTTACAATAATGATTGTCCAGTCATCGACAAGTCACTGGAAAGAGCCTGGAGCTCACCCGTTGTGTACGTTGCACCTACAGTAAAAAGTGACTGCACCTACAGTTTACTATAGTCTCAAAATTTGGGTCGAGTAGCTCATCATACCTGCAGTGGGTATCGTCGCATCTGCGATTCACTGTAATTTGAAATTGAAATCTAGACTGCCGACCACACTTGCTGTGTGTTCACCGCATGAGCAGATTACTGCAATATTAATTTGAAGGTATGCGGGAAAAAATCTCAGTCTTTGGCAAGGGCCGCACGTGCAAGATTCTTGCACGTGCGGCGAGTGTTGCCTTAGTCAACTTCCACCCTTTGATAGCTTTTTCTTCTTAGAATGGGTCCAACCTGACTGTAAGGGTAATAGACTAAGGCGTCGTTTGGAAAGGCAATCCCAGGCTAAAGTAGCCAAGTCGCGACAAAAAAGGCTAATTCAGCCAAGTCACGACAAAATCGATTTTCACGGGTGTTGGGCGAGGCTGTGTGGTGTGAATTTACCGAATTGCGCCGAAAGGTTAAAATCTCTCCATCTGTAAAAAGCGGCTCACATTAGAGCTCATACACACCCATTGCAAAGTAGAGGAGAAGAAGAATGGAGCTATTGGAGGCCGTCGGACCGACCTTGGCAGAGGAAACCGCAACCGGAGATCGAAACCGCGGCGGCAAACAACAACCAACTCTCTCACACTCAAACCGATCTGCAGGTGATGATCTATGGCCTATCTGATTTGTTTTCTCTTCTTCCCATCTGCGTAGTTTATGTTCATAACAGCATCGGTTCATGGCCGATCTGTTGGCTCACGGTCGTTATTGGGTTGATTACACTTACATTACACACAGACCGGCTACCGATCTGTCTCATCCGTAAATCTCGTCTTTTAGATCTGTTGTTATGTTCGAAATCTGTTCGCGTCCAACAAATTTGAGGCAGATTTGTATATATACATATATATATATATATATAATATCTGATCTGATTCAAATAGTTGGCCTGATTTATGAAAATCAGCTCTATTGATCTTATATATCTGTTCAGAATCACAAATTTGGGCCAGATGTATGAAGGCACCGTTGTTTAAACAATCAAGGAAATGCAAATCTGTTCTACAATTGTTGTATCTGTTCGGTTATAGTTTCAAATGCAGATCCTTAATTTTTTTTTTTTTTTTATAAATAAGAAATGTTGTTCCCATTTGTGAAATGCTCAATTCCCATTTGTGCTTAACAGAAATGCTCAATTCCCATTTGTGAAATGCTCAATTCCCCTGATTGTTGCCTAATAGAAATGTTCAATTCCCATTTGTGAATTTTTTTTTAATTACATAAAAAATATAATTCCAACTCAATTTGGGTTAAAAGTTAGAGATATTAACAACAAATTGTCAAAATATATATAACTTATAGTCCAAAAAGAAAAGATTAAAATTTGTAATCAATTAAGCAATATATTAAAAATATATTACGAAGATATTAAAAAAATATATGTGAAATGTATATTAGAAATTTTGATTTACAAGGTAAAGACTGTAAAAATTTTATTACACATATATGACAAAATTTAATTATGAAAAACTTTATCATCAATATATGAATAAATGTTTTCAAAAAAGCCAAAAAATATATTGAAAATATATTACAAATTAGATGTATTAATTTGCGTATATTTTTTACTCAAGACGAAATGCTCAATTCTCAATTCAAAAAAATAAATTAATTACATAAAAAATATTTTCCAACTAAATTTGGGAAGGAAGGTAGATATATTATCTACATATATTAACAACAAATTACAAAATATATTATATTTATATTAGAAATATATTAAACAAACAGTTTATTAAAAATACATTACAAACTTATTCGAAAGATATTAATAATGTATTAACATTATATATTACAAATTTA